CCTACAAACAAGTTATGCTATTGTGAGACCCAGGCTGTGTAAACAATCCTGCACAGCTTCCATGCCACTACAAAACAGATGAGGGATGAAAAACGCTGACAGTTATAAAGATACTCCTGCTGATGGCAAACATTAAGACCTTTTTACCTTTTTCCCCTCCTCCTCCTTTAATAGCAATCAAATGGAGAGCACAGGAAACTGCAAATAAACTTTATATTTGAAAAAAAAATTAACATGCGCCAAAACATTCTGATGGTGTATTTGACTCAACTTAAAATAGAATTATTTTTCTCCCAAAATATTCCATGTAAAAAGTGTAACAAGAAAGAAGTGAAATGGAAAATTGCTAAAGCTGAAGAACATTATGCAAAAAAAACAAAAAACAAAAAAAAAAACCCAGCTTTTTTTCTAACAGCTCTGAGATTACATGAGAAAGAGAGAAAGGATGCGGAGGAGGGGGAGAGGGATGGAGAGGTAAGACAAGGGAACATGAAGCAGACTGAAAACAGAATAGAAATAACTGTTATGGAAACTGTTATGGAACTGTTAATAAGAGAGAACACTAAATCAACAGAGGTACATTTGAGACTTTAAATATTCTCTCCAAGTAGGTTTTCCATAAAAAACTTAAATGTAATTGGACTGTTCATCATTCATAAAACTGTTCATCATCTTGCCACGGGCCAGACTGCTTCCACTTCTCTAAACTACAGCATGCTTTACTCTGATGAGTTTATCTTATTGTCTGCAATTCCATATCATAATATATAATTTTAGCCAATGTTTTAATTTAAAACCATTTTTTTTAAACCATTGATAAGATAGGGTCCTCCAAACAGAAAAATGTCTCACTTTTTAGTTGTTCTCAAGGATGGCAACAAAGTTTGACAGCTGACATTTGGGGAAGGAAAAGGAGCTTGAAATACTACATTAATAAAGCATATTTTGTCTTTCTTAATGGAATATATCCAGGGACATTGTAAAAATAAAATACTCTTCTCTAACTTTAATATTCAGATTCTTCATTGATCATGATGTTTTATCATCAGTGAAATGTACTGATTTTTTAGCACATCCAAACTCATATGAAAGTGATGATTTATAGATATATACAGCACCTTACATCTTCAAAGAGTTTGTAAATAGCAACACTTTCATTCTCATCCTATTTCACTAACGCAAAATTTAAGACTTGACATCAGAAATATGTAAAACAAGAAAATTTAGATTTTTCATAGTACAACCGATATTAGAAAGATCTAAAATTTCCACTGATATATGAGAAACTCTGCCTAGATAAAAACTAGGTCTCTGTGAAATTCCACTCTGTGGAGGTGGGCACAGGCATGAAACCTCTTCCTTTGCAGAAAATAAAAGAACATCATCATTTCTTTTCAGTATTACAAATTTTTTTGTTGACTGAATGTTCACAACCTCTGCCTTCTAAGGCATCAAATAATATCATTGATGAGATATAAATGAATCGGTCAAACCTGTTCAGCTCATAACCGACCCTTTTTCTATGTTCTAGAAAAGAGTGGTGGTATTTCTGTATAGTCCATGGCTGTACATATAGCCATATTACTAAGGCATTGCTAAGGCTATGCATCATATAGTTTTATATGACTGCATATGCTATATTTCAATACATTTTTGATATTACTTAACTTGATGTATCTTCTTGCAGTTGGCCTTCTGAATTTAAAGATTAGCTAGAACAGCCAGTTGCTATCAGAGTTCAACCTTTTTTTACAAATGACTGATAACTCTGTGACTGCTGTTAAATTCCTGGACAGATTAAACGAAGCTCACCTCCTGCTAGATCCTAAATCTCTTCAAGCTGCTTTTTTAAAGCCACATAACAAGTGTTTTGTCCTTACATTACCGTTCCACTTTTTCTTCCCTGTCTTAAAGGAATTTTCATTCTTCTAGTTCTCATGGGAAATCGTGTTAAAATGCAGGAACCTGACCTTAGGTTGCATTGAATACTCCCATTGACTTCAGACCATAAAAAAGGAAAACTGAAAAAGAGTTATATTCTGTCAGGAAGAATATGGCTCCAAATGCTGGAATCATCCTGACAGCTCTATTTCAGAAGTTAGCCAAGGAGAAAGAAGAGGCCAGATATCTTGAAAATTACATACACATACCTCACACACATAGTATACACATACAAAGCATAAAGAATAGAAAAGAGAACCTGGAAAGAAACCCTGCCAATTTATCAAGTGGCAGATGAATTATCCCCAAGACTTTCATAGAAGCAGCAGCCACCCCATTTTAAGGTAAAATTTTATTTCAATCTCAACTGCAGCATAATCTTAGATCCATCCATCCATGTTTCCCCTGCTCCCTCTCCTTTCCTCTCACAGTCCTCCTGCTCCTTTCCCAACTCACATGCTGAGTAACTTGGAGGCATCATTTCCTCTCCAGTACCACAGGTTTCATGAGCCTGTCTAAGTAGGAACTGCACGAAGAAGAATTGTATTGATTAAAGAAAAAAACAAGGTAGTAACAAATTTACTTCAATAAATTTTCGTCCCAGTTGAAGCTTATGAATTGTGTGTACCTTTTTGATAATTTTTGGTGTGTTTCAGAGTATTTTCAACATTCTCCCTAACAAAGAACATTCTAGGGAAAACTAGTGGAGTTATACAGAAATAAAATGGAAAACTGGATCTATGTGAGGTGTCTAGCTCTTACTATTGTTTCCACTCAATATCTACTATTTATTTTTTCTGCATGATGGCTCTGCTTCAAGCTCTCTGGAAATTACACTACACAGAAAGTTAAAAAAAAAAAAAAGCATTGGAATTTTCCAGTGTTTGGTCTTCCTTAATACCAGAAGCACATTTCACCTCTGAATTTAGCAAACAGACTCTTAGGTGCTGTTTCATTATTGGCTTAAGCTACCCTAAGTATGGAGTGTGACAAGAGGCAGACCCACTCACCACCCTCCTCCCCCTCCTCTCCTCAGACCTAGGTAAATACTCCTCTCGTTTCATCATCAGTTCTCATGCTGCCTCAGAGTCAGCCAGATCAAAAATACCAAAATGATCCACCTGAGATTTGAGCCACACACTAATTTTCAGATGGTTCCTGACACAGCTGACCTTGAAGCCAGAAGTATGCTCATTCTCCCTAGGGAGACAGCAGAATATGCATCTGGAGCAGGAAGGAAAAGAGAGCTGTACCACCATCTTCTGCAGCAGCACAGATTTAAATCTGCTGAAGCCTACTGCAAAACCACAGCTTTGTTATGTTAGGAACAACTCCCATATGAACCAAACTGTACAAAAGAAAAAAGCAGACCTTGACCCTTGATTTTAGTGTTCAAGGAAGACAAAAAAATACAGATATTCTCCTGAATCAGAAATGCCAGATGGCAGAGAGGCTCACTTGAGTATGTTTCCAAAGCAGAACTAGTAATAACACCCTACACCTGGATGCTGTCACTGCACTAACTCCTGACTTACAAGCAGTGCTAGTAATTATGGGAGCACATCCCTTAAGCTGTGTGTGAATACCTGCGTACCTGAACAAATTTCTTTCCAATAAGTTAAGGGAGAAATTATCTGGTCTTTTGGGGTGTGCATGGAGAGCACTTTGAGAAGACACATGGGCTGTAGTTCCAGTTTTCAGCAGTAGTGATCCCATGAGACTGATTGTAATAACACTGCTGATTTGTACCTTTTGATGCCCAGTCAGCTCAAGTTTATTGCACTCCAACATTTGAGTTGGAATGTTAGGAAACTGCATCTATTAACAATTTGAATAGCCACTGCAGCAAATTGAAATGTAAGAAATGCCTTTATACCAACTAAGACAGGCAAAAGGCTAGGGAAGCAGTGCAAACACAAGCCTGGTCCAGCCTGATTTTGTTGCCTTAAATGGTGCCAGTGGGCTGCTTTTTCTCCTGGGGCAGGACAAAAGCAGTTAACTGCCCTTGTGCAATTAAATGCCACATTAAGAATACCTTGGCTTGATGCACAACTATCCAGAGAACCTGAAATGCTGCAGAAATGTTTCCATTTTTAACAGCTGACAACAGCAACTCTAAGTATTCCATTTATATTTCTGCTATGATACTTCAGAAGATCTTATCCTGGAACACTTGTGTCGGGTGACTAATTACGTAAGAATTGTTCATTTTTGTCCTTTCTACTGCAGGAGTATGTTCACAAAGTTAGTCCTTTATCTGTGACGCACTTCTGAAAGAGAAAAACAAAAAAGACAGAGAAGTCTGGGGATTTGATTAGTTTCTTCCAAGATATTTAATTGCTATTAGAGCCAGAAATATGTTATGCGCTATAATATAATTTTCTTTTTGAGAGTAAAACTTGGGTTAAATACTAGCACAAATTCCACATGACAGCAAAGTAATCTCAGGAGTTTTAAAAAACAGAACATGGCAAGCTAGACTTCCACCGGTTATTTGTGGTTCGCTTTATAAATTTTGGGCACAGAATCAAACTTTAACATTCTACATAGAAAACCAGAATCTTTCTAAAAAATCTTTTACAAATCAGCAAGACTGGAAACAATTTGATAGAAGACTTACTGTGCATGCTCTTTCAACCATTTCACTAAAAATTCATTTTAGCTTTCTCTGAGGAAGAGATAAACCACAGCTAAGAGACAGTTATTAAATCTTCTTTATACATTCTGTATGAAATGTATTAAACTACAAAAATACTATATTCAAAAAAGGTTAAGGGTCTGACTTAAACCCACAAAGACATGGAAATTCAGAAATATTGTGTCTTCCTACCCTTTACTCTCTTCAGTATGGTTATGCATTGTAGCAAAAATGACTTGTGCTCAGGTTCCTTAAACCTCTTCTTTATGGTACATTTCTCCTTAAATGTACTTTCTATTTTAAGGTTATTTCAGTCTGCATACTCTTTGTAGGTTGAATTCTGCCCTGAACAGTCTGAGGGGTTTTATTGTTTGTTTGTTTTATGGATTTTTATAATTTATTTTCTTTTTCTTTTTTTTTATGATTATAGAAACACAGAAGTGAAAAATGAAGCAAAAGTACGTATGTACTAGTCTTGGCAACGAGATATTCTTACTTTTATTTTTCAACGCTCTCGAGAGACAGGCAGGCAGAGGTAGGACATGCATGACTCTCAGCAAGTGCAAGCACATGCTTCAGCTCTATCCCTGCCCCCTATGCAGCTCCACTTAAACATATGTAAATACCTATTACATATTTCTCCAGTGAACTAAATAGGAAACTTGCAGTTGACAGTACCACAAAATACCTTGAGGCCTTCTTCCATGATGGGCTTTTTCCCCTTTTCCTGAATACAACAACGACCAGTGGAGGTCACACTTTATTCAAAAGAAAGTAAGATGCTTGCAGATCCTCCTTCCAGGGTGCTGTCAGCCTTGAAACCACCTCCTACAGTATGGTACAGTAGTTTGCACCTGCTGACCTCTTGGGCAAATTGCAAATTATGTCTTCTCAAGAAGACGTCAAAGCATGGAAATTCCACTGTGAGGAGGGAGGGGTATCTTAGGAGGATGGTGGGGTTTTTTTTCCCCTATATTCTACAACTGTAAATGAGTGTCAGTTTCTTTTCATTCTCTTTTATTTCTAATTATTCTTTGTTTTTACTTAATTATTATCAGTGTATTATGCAGTCAGGCAAATGTGTCCATGCAGCTATTATAAACCTATATGCATTCAACAAATTGTTAGAAACTTGATAATTCCAAATGTGGCCGAAGTTCCCCTCCACATGTTTCGTAGCATCTGATAAATATGTATATTTAATTCTGTTATACTTACACATGCTACTGAAGAGTCCATTTTTAAAGATTAACAGCTAACACAGACTATTCAGTCCCTCCAACTGGTACTCCTGCCAACTGCTAAAAAATAGGACAATGGCCATTCCAACAAGAAAACAGTGTTGATTACACACTCTGGGTGCCAGAGTAAAGGGAGATGATTTGGAGGACGTCCACAAACATTAATCTTTGCAGCTTGACTGTGATAAAAGTAAACCATTCAAAATCCTCAAACAAATAATCCTCAACAAAATAGTATAATACTATGTATAATACCAATAAAATAATACCAGTGATGTAGATTTATCTTAAGATACCATAGAACAAGACACAGGGGATTGAGAGAAATTTCTTAAACAGATAATACTTGACAGTAGTAGACAATCTCTGTTAAAGAGTAAGAGAAACAGAAAGCAGTAGCCTTGACCCAGAAAAGGTATTTCTGCTTTATACAGCATAAAAGACAGACATTCAAGAAAAGCTCATCCATGAGAAATGGTGATCTCCTGTTGCTGCCAAGGTCAGTCAGACCTGTTGTGATATGTTCTGTAAATGCTGACTCTATCACTTACAGTTTCCCAAGGCCTTCCTTAACACCCAGAGCTTTTTTTATTTTTATTGTGGAACAAAGTTATGACATGAAACTGTCAAACTCGAAAGCCCAGAAAAGGAAGACAGAGAGTTTTTTATTAGACTTGAGAGTGACAGCTCTATTGAGAAAAAAAAAGAAGAAAACCACAATTACAGTTATAAGGCAGGGGATCTGAAGTTCCTAGAGATCCACCAGAAAAATGCCAAAATCTGAGCAAGGAAGAAAATTTTGCTCTTAAGTCAGCAGTCCCAACAGTTTATCATGCCCCTTAAAAACTGACTGCAGATGACATGTGGATATCTATTTCAGCCTATCAGGTGTGAATGGGATGGGATTTATTTGCTACCACAGGAAGCTCTAATGGAAACTCCCAGCATACTTTTACTATACCTCAGTCACAACCTTTTGCACTTGAAATGCCAACTGAGCCCATTGTGTGGTGTTTTTCTGGCAGCAATCATAAATCCCAAAGGGAGAAAAATAAGTTCAAGCAAGGAATTTTACTTTCTCTAGTTAAAAAAATAAAATTAGATAGTAGATAAACTGTAATACCATCTAGCCCTAAAAATATTCTTTTTTTACTCTGTGGATTTTATTATACTTATAAGTATTCAGAGAGAATAGAGTTTGGACCTCTCTCTCTCTATTAACATTTATAATTCTGAGCTTGAAGTACTAATTAAACTAATGTGAAAGAATGTACTTAGCCTACTTTTTTACCCCACTGCTTTGGGGTGGGAGACTCTAGTTGAAACACCTACCTTGCTTGGAGATTTACGGAACATCCCTCTCTTCACAGAGACCTTGTGAATATTAACGAAAATGAAAATTTTCTCTAACAAAAGACTTCTGAAACAGAAAATAAGAGGTTTTAAGTAAGCTTGTAATGATCCCCTCATGTCAGGGGAGCTCATGCAGGGGCAATTCATCTCTGTTTGGGAGTTTATCAAGTAGGACAAGAATGACATCATTGTTCTGAATTGAAAACTGATTAGTCACCTGCTTGGCATCTGTCTTGCAGATGAGAATTCCTTGTTGAATGCTATGGATAAACTGGTGATACAGACTATTCCTTCCTTGGCTTGTGGCCAGTCCTCTGTTCCGTCTTTTCTTTCTCCTGACTATTCAGCTGACATATTCATATGTACATTTGTAAAATACCTACAAATACAGATGGGTATTTTTAATGGTATCAACTGTAATTACATATTTGTTCACAAGATATCTGTTTACGATGCAGTCTCCAGATAACATTTATACAACTTATATGAATTCTCAATTGGAGGAAAAACCAAAATGCCTTTAGACAGCTTTTTAAACAGTAAAATAAATTGTTGAAAACATACATTTCCTTTAAAAAAATCAAAGTTTCTGAAGTTCCAGTACAGGCCTCCAGTACACTTCAGAAAAAAATCAGCATGGAACCAAAATTTCCTGATTCCTTATACTTCTGGATGTTTCATGATTGATTTAACAAGATAAGTGGAAGAGTGGAAAATTGGCAACCTTAGCAGTTGAGTATATCTTGCATTTGAGAACTAGCATACATCACACTGTGATGTATTTTTGAACCTTTCTTCATACCATGTGGACAGTGTAGCTCATATAAAAACCTTGATAGGATGGAAAATGCAGGAAGAGAATAAAAGGAACTTCATGTTTTCCTCTGTTTTTCTGACCATGAGGAATAATCTAAAGCCCAGTAAAATGTTTTCTTTTGAGGCTGGCCTACCTTCCCATGTCTGCAAGGCCACATTTAATTTGGTAACTTGAATTGAACCAGCTGGCAGTGTCTTTGAAACATATGGGAATGGATCAAAGCTGCAAATATGCAAGGTGAATTTTACATTTTTATATTTCTTTCATGGTAATTTAAGTTCTTGATTCTCTGAGATATTTTGTGCTTAATTCCTACTGTGGGCAATGGCAGATGAGTTGTAAGAATCTTTTCTGAGATGCAAAACACAGTTCAGCTTCAACCCATGTGTCAATTCCTCCTCTAGTGTTAAACTGGCTGTGTATAATTTTTTTTGGTCTATGAAGATATGGCAATACTCAGGTTTTCTCTCTGCTTTGTAGCAAAGGGAAGTCAGGGGCTTTCTTTAACTTTTAGAAGTGATTTGTACTTCCTTATAGAGAACAATTTATTTTCATACAAGTGTCATAATTTTGGGCCCATTATTTTCACCACAAACAAATTATATAGGACGGAGCAATAGCTAAAATAATAAAATAGCTTGCTTTTTCATTACCTGTTTGATAACACTTTGTTTGACACACTATCAGGTAGCTTCACAAACAGTTTAAATACTCTGAAATATATATTGCATCTCTTAAGTTTTTATACTGTATTGAGGATCTAGTTTCTTCACATTGATTTATGCTCACTTATAAATGCACACACAGAATGTCAACACTTAAAATGAATCAATTTCTTAAATGATTTGAGATCATTTGATGAAACAACCAGATTAATTACATTGTTTAAAATATTCTTCAATCTTAATATCATTATCATTTGCATCTTCCCAGATCCAAGTATCATATCCAGTTTAAGAACATGAAACAGGACATCCACACAAAAGTGACAGACCCTTTGTCCTATTATTTAATTAACTACTATCTAGAAATGGATGGTCTCTGACCTTTGTTATGAAAGGCAAACAGTCCTGTGAGTTAGTTAGTAAATCAAAAATTTCAGCGAGAGAGATTTTCCTAGCAAAATCTCATTGGTTTCCTTTTAGCTTACTTCTTCCTCCTGGCTACCAAAGCGCAACACACAAAGCAAGAAGCAAAATGATTTATCAACACAACTCTTTTTAAAAATATGAAGGAGAAAACTTTTCTTTAAAGAAGAGTTAGCTTCATGAAGATATTCTTGTGGTGCCTAGCCTATGTAAAATAAATACTAAGCCATCATCACAGTCTCACATTTCCTACTTTCTAGGAAGATCAGGAAGTCTGCTCTTTGTAATAGAGGATCAGATATCTAGTGCTCCCAAATAAAACTGTGTATATATGTGTGAGATTTAAACAAAAAGATGTTGGACTATTCTTTTGTAAACTAAAATACATTATTTCTCTTTGACTGAGAACATGAGTTATGTCTGCTGATGGTCCCCCAACACACTAGACAGACCAGCTGGGTCAGACAATAGGATACACAAGAAAAAAACCTGTCATACCAGACACAGTTACTTGTTCCATGTAATTCTGTTCACTTGACCACTGAAGAGAGAATGAGAATGTATCAATGTCCTGACTGGTTCAGAACGAGGGTGTGCACTACCAGTACTCTGCCTCCAATGATGGCTCTAGACGTGACAGCCCGAACTGAGGGAAAACGTGTACAATACTTCCATACTGCCATTCCCTACTCCTATGTCTCTACCTCCAGCTATTTTCAGCCCAGAGGAGCTACTGATCCATTTATGGTTTGTCTATCTAATGATCTTCTTATGGTTTGTCTATCTAATGACCTTCTTAGGTCTACAGTCTGCTGTGTAAACCTTTTGCGTCCACAATACTGTTTGGCAAGGAATGCCATAAAAGTTCTCTGTTACATGGAGAGTATTTACACAGTCTAACTCCAGCAGAAAGCATTTAAAAGAATAACTTTTTTAGTATTAGCAGATAAAGATCACGTTCCTCAAGGCATTTGTTCCTATTTATACGAGAAAGGCAATAACACTCTTTTCATATGTTAGTATAGCAACCTCTTTCAAGACTATTTTGGAGACATTCACTTGAATGTTGAATGGCTTTAAAAACAGTGCCCTTCTGAACAAATGTTCCTTCCTTTTGAGCTTCTAAAAATTGATTCATTCTTTTAAATCTGTTTCAACTTTTTTTTTTTTTTTTTCTTTTTCTGGCAAATGCACTTCCATGAGTTAAAGTGGCCAAGGTTGATATACCATTGAATTATCCTCAAAGGCCCTTGCTTTCTCAGTCCATAGAGGCAAAACCTACAATATTATTAACAATTTCAGTTCTGGTCTCCACAAACACATTATTCTGAAAACCCTAGAGAACATGTTCCCTACAAAACAAAGAATGTTTAACAGATTAATATATATAGCTCTTTAATTTTTACCAACTGTACAGATAACTGCCACAAATCTCAGGTGTTTTAACATCTTGATGATTAAATCATCTCTGTAAGTAGCAGCAAAAATTTTATAACTCTCAGGGCCTGCATCATTAAGTACTGAAAATAACTTGTAAGTGCTGTGCAAAGCAAACGGTACAGTTGTAAACTCCTACAGACTCTGAGGAACCTGAAGCCCTTCCTAAGGCAGTAGTCAGTAATATTTCACATAAATAAAAAGCCAATTCTCTACTTTTTATTATTAGACACTCCACTCATTCTGTATTGACATCTCCAGCTCTGCATTAGCATTTCTGTACCTGCATACACTTGTATGCACCTGCACACACTGGTTGCCTAGAACAGCCCATCTCAAATTGCTGTATCTCCACCACCTCTCTCACAACAGGCTGAAAACCAACCCACTGTCCATGAATAACAAGTTTCTCAACAGCAGCTTTTCAATACGGAGCTTGCAATCTGTCTCCCATTCACTTTGTCAAATTATGGTCCACATATCAGCCATTTGCAGCAGTGATATATCTGTCAGGCATCAAGTACATCTCTTGCAAAGGAAAATCTTTTTTAGGATTTTTTAACTTTCAAAATGTCTAATCCCAAACATGTAAAATAATGAGTCAGATGCCAAAAAATCATGAGGATTTGGATGTTGTTTTTCTTGTGTGTGTATTTTTTTTTTTTTTAATATGTTAATGTCTTTTCCTTTGCTTTCTGGAGCTTTTTCTAGGTCATGCTTTCAAGCTTTTCTCCAAGGCCAGAAGGGTTTTAAACGTTATTAAAAAGAAAGCAACTGAGATCCTTCTGTAATTGCATGTTTAAGAAAAACATTTATTGTCATCAAACTGAAATTCCGTTGAACTGACAACCAAGTATCTTCAGAGATGTTTTTGATCAAATAATCCTGAAATAAGAATATTGCTTCAAACCTGTTTTCTCTAGAGTTTCATTTGCATTACTTGCGTTTTTTTTTTTCCCAGATAATTAAGCTTTAATGAAAAGAGGTTGTTAGACATAGAAGAAAGCCATGATTACAACACTATCTTGAAGGACTCTACAATATCAAAATATCTAAGGTGCAGATTATATATCTCTGTATATATATATATATATATATATATATATACACACACACACATACATATATCCTCACACAAACAGTGATTTTGTCACCTGAAATTTCGGATTTGCTCCCACTCAGTATTGAGTCCCATTGAAATCTTTACAGTGGATTTTTTTTTCCGTGATGAGAAGACAGTTTTGTGTGACAATATGCATTACAAATCTTCTTAGATTCTAACTGGTTTGTGACGGAAACGTTCATGAGAATTGATAAATGCAACCATTCCTGTTAACCATCATCATCTCCTCTGGTTTGTGTGGCACTCAGTAATTCGTTTTTATTTAAAGAGGGAAAGGCATTCTTTTCTTTTCATAACACAATTCCTCTGTTGGGCATTATCTAAGCTCAGCATAGTGTTCTTCCTGTATTCTTTCTCTTCCATCCTTTCTGCCCTGATTAAGACTATTGGAGACTCAGCAGGAAACCCAGTGGGATTGCTCATGGTGTCTTGAAGTCACCTTTTTTTTTCATTGTTTTTGCCTGTTAAACCCTGTTATGCTCATCAATCGCTCTCCCGCATCCCCCTGGATTCTGAACTTTCCTTTGTCAGTACCCTTGTTTGCTCCTAATTGAGCTCCTCTTAATTTCCCCTACTCATTTGCTTGTCCTTCCTTGCTTCCTCGCCTCACAGTTAGGCCACCTCCTCGAATGTCCCACCTGTGCCTGGTGGCACTCTGTGAGGCCAGGCCTGAGCATCACGATTAATGGGGCAGACCCCAGATGACCAGGGATTTCAAGGGTGCGCTTTACTTTCAACTTGTTTGCTGTTTTCTGGGACACGCTCATGGATCACAGTTTATGTGTGCCACCACAAACTCTGGGCGATAGATTCCACTCTGCCGGGACTGGAGACGACGGGCTCTGCTGACAGCTCGACCCACACCAGCCTCAGAGGGCTGCCAGGGCAGAGGAGTCGCCCGACCCCAACTTTGCCAAAGGTCCACGGAAATGGGTCCGAGGGTCTCACAGAAGTACCTCAACAGCCCCGCCCACGGCCACACCGGCACCCGGAGCCCGCCCCACCCCAGGCAGCAGCCCGAGCCCCGCTCGCTGCCGCCGCTGCCACCGCCCCCTGCGGCCCGCCCGGCCCCGCGGCGCGGAGGGGCTGCCATAGTAACGGGCGGGGGCCGGGCGGCGCCGGGGGCCGGGCGGAGGGCGCTGCGAGAGGGCGGGGACGGCGGCGGGATGGTGGGCGCGGGAGCGCCCCCTTCCCGCGGCTCCCGGCCCCGGCGGCCGCAAATGGCTCTTCCCTCGCCGGCCCCTTTGTGTGAGGCACACTCGGAGCCGCGGCTCCGCGGCGGAGCGCGGTGCGTCCCCTACCGCCGCCAGCCCGACCCAGCCCGGCCGGGCCGGGCCGAGCCGAGCCGAACAGAGCCCAGGCGAGAGAGCCGAGCGGCTCGGGGCGGCCATTCCAGCGCCTGGGCGCCCAGCTCCCCCCGGGGGTGCGCGAGGGGGCCCGGCTGCTGTCGCCACCTCCCCCTCAGCCCCCCCATGGCCCTCGCTGTGGTGGGCGACCAAAATACAACTCCACCAAACCAAAGCAAATAAATAATAACAATAATAAAAAAAATAAAAGAGAGAGAGAAGAAAAAGAAAAGGAAAGAAAGAAAGAACGGGAAAAGAACAGAGGGAGCGAGCGAGAGGGAGGGAGGGAGAAGCGAACCAACTCTGAGACTCCCATAAAGAGCGGCACGCACGGAGCGAGCGCCCCGGTGCCGATGCGTGGGGGAAACAATAAGTACTCGAAGTTACCTGCCCTGCCGTAGAAGAAGGAGGGTTCGTGGGTTCTCTTGCAGACATCTGCAGACCGGTGCTTTTTTGGAAGAGATTTTTTTTTTTCCTCTCCTCTCTCTCTCTTTACAAACCACAAACGGATGTGAGGCAGGGAAGGTGTTTGACTACTGAAGTCAGGCACCTCTTTTTTTATTCTTCTCAGTCTTGTGTGTCCCCCCCCTTCCCTCTCTCTCTCTCTCTCTCTCACACACACACACACGCACACACACATTCTCTCTCTCACCCCCGTTTTTTTGCACCTACATTAACGACCAAAAGAAAAGGAAAGGAGTTTGCTTGATGTTTTAGTGAAATGGACGTAAGATTTTATTCACCACCTCCTCAGCCTGCAGCTGCTCCTGATACGCCTTGTTTGGGACCTTCCCCCTGCCTGGACCCCTACTATTGCAACAAGGTGACTCGTGTTTTGTGTCGTCCGAGGTGTTTTATCTGTGCTGTCGATGTGTGCTGTTGTCGCGGCGCGTTGCATGAGCGGGCGCTGCGCTCTGGCGAGCCGCGCACCAAGTTCCCCGGCGAGGCGGAGGGAGGGCAGCGGCACTTGCCGGGGTTTGGGGTTTGGGGAGCGCAGTGCCGCCCGCCGCGGAGCGGTGCCGCCGGGACACACACCGGCTCCCCCTCAGGCACCCCAAATTAAACCCCCGGAGTAGTCTGGGGGCGGGCGGCTGGAGCGGGGGGTGGGGGGTGGGGGTGGGAGGCATTTTCCATAACATCTTTTCGGAGAAACGGCGTGGACGGGGATGTTGGTGCGGGGGACTTGAATTTCCAGGGCTCTTGTTAATGAGAAAGATCGCGTCCGCCACAAACCGGCAGAAACTCTGCCCCGCAGTTCATGTGTCAAAGAGCTGAAAAGCACGTTTGTGTGTGTGTGTGTGACATGTGTGTGTGTATATATACACACACAGAGACACACACACACAGACACACACACACACACACACATACACATCTCTCTTGTGTGCATAATAAGTCTGCATAGTGTTTACAAGTCGGTTCAGAACATCGGCTCCACTTTGTCCCGGCTGTGCAACTGCCTTACCAATTTCTCTGTAACTTGATTAAACCTCTGCAAATAGGGTCAGTACCTGAGGAGAGCTAAGTTTTAGGTCTCCGAGCCTTGGGGAAGGAGTAACCGCAGAGGATACATGCACTAGCCCAAATCCTGAGTCCGGTTCCGAGAGTTTGGTGCTGCGATCCCGGAGCACTTTGCGTGACTTTTGCTGCCGAGAAAGGGGGCTGGGGTTCCTGCATTGTTACTGCCGCTGTAGCGTGAGCCAGCTGGTGCTTTATGTATGAGCTGCACTTTCTCTGCTGTTACGGAATGGGCTTTGCACGTGAATAAAACGCTGGCCGTAGGAAATGATCGGAAAACGCGAATCACCCAGAGCACAGCCCGGGCAAGGGGAGCAAGCCGGGAGAGAGCGATGTGTTCAAAGCTGCGCGCTCGGGCGCTTGTTCAGAAGCCCGCCGTGCAGCCCGTGGCGGGCTGCGGGAGCAGATGGCTTTTCGCAGCGCAAACCGCGCCGTGCGCAGGCTCCGCAGGGCCGCCGGCGGGCGCGGAGGGCGGCGGCGGGGCGCGGTGCCGGCGGGGCTCTGCCGCGGAGGAGCAGCCGCTGGCCCGGCCCAGCCCGGCCCGGCCCGGCCCGGCGGACAGCCCGGTCCCCTGCCCGGCTATTGTCGTGACGGTCTCACGTGTCAGAGAGACGTTCTGAGCCGTCCCTTTCATCCCGGGCAGCTGCCTCGATTCAGAGATAAACAGCAAAATAGAGTGTGCTTGTGCTGAGGTGCGGAGGCTGCGGCGCCCGGGTGAAGCCCTCTCAGTTTTCAGGAAAGGTTTCCCACATGGTCGCATCTACCAATCACAACAGAAAGGACCAAATTCATCCTGGCTGCATTTCACATATACTCAATGGAGTTATAGAATCCAGGAATAAATCGGGCCCTTTGTGGTGGATGCCCCAGGATATTTCAAGAGAGATCCCAGAGGTATGACTGTTAGCGTTGTTTTAAGTAACTATTTTGCAGCATCTGGCAAACGTGCGCTATATTTTGGAAGTTTGTGCCAGGAGTGAACTTGGTTCAGCAGGAGGAGTTCAAATGCAAAGGAGCGTTTATGCGTTCATTAATTTTCTGCTAGTGCTCTGAGTAATCATGAGGCTAGTGCTACTTTTCATCTGTGGTTTGCTGTTATTTTCTCTATCGTCACTTTTGTAAATTGTAACAGTGAAATGTTGCCACGTGAAAAGCTTGGGCTGATATTAATGCCATAAGAACCAAAGTGTTTGAAGACCTGTTTGGCAGTGAAACTGGACAAACGTTATTAAACCTATCAATGATTTAAAGCTTCAGAAAGAAGGTAATGACTTGAATACACATTTCACTCATCATTCTTGAGATAGTGGCCAGATTTAATTTAAAAGTTAAATGCTTTGGAAAATCAGGAATTACTTTAATATATTAAATCATTTTCCAATTAAGTTCCTTAAATAATTTTTGGTGTGTTGCACTCCAAATCAAATAAATTAATTTAGAAAGTCATTTTCAGAATTTCTTTACTAGCTGGTTGAAGCTTCTTTCAAGTCATGCCATGTATGAGGGAGCAAACTGTTCTTTTCAAATGCAAATGAGACACTCATTCTGTAGACAAGTTGCAACTCTTCTATTTCACTTTGCCTGAACTGATAATGTGCTTAAAAGTGCACAGTCATAAGACATATGTTTTATGCTTGGAAAAGACTTACCAGGAATGTTTCAATATAAGATATCGAGTACAAAACAATTGTCTTTCTCAGATGTCTTTACCACTGACCATTGATAACATTAAATGGACAGTGTAGATTTGCCAGGCCCCTTGGAGGAATACATTTAGTGAACATTTCATTTTTCATCCCTTCACTCTCTCCGTTTGCCCAGCATGATTAACACTGCTGTGAAAACTTATCTGACTTGTTCTAAACATGTCATCATGTTACAGTATTGCTCTGTCACTCATTTTCAGGCTGTGTGTATTTAGGGAGTTTGTAGGGCGGGAGGCCTGCAGAATTTTCTGTTCAGTATGTTTGGTTGAGTGTTTGCTTTTGAACTCTCCCAGGAAAGGAGATGATGGCTGGAGTGTGATGGATCCTTGTTCTGGGCCAGAATGGTGATCTTCATTAGGAATTTACCTGCAAAACTCATTCAGAACTCATTCAAGATCCTCTGGGTTCCTGTTTCTTATAAAGTTAGTTAAAACTTGCTTTTGGCACTTTCTAGTGGATTTGGCCCTGTTTTTCATATCTAGCTTTTGGTGGTGTTTTTCCTTTTACAAATTTGCCAGACTTTGATTCTTTATATTTGAAGTCTTCTTGAGCTGCTGGTGGAATACATTTAGAATGTTTTCCACAAATACTTAGGCTTTTTAGTTTTCTAATTGTTTTGTTAGTATCAGTTGTTTTCCCTGATCAGATGGTTGTTTGTAGCATGTGAGTTCCCAGGCACATGCATGGGAGGTATTGACTGTGCATTTTTCTGTAGCCAGAGGAAAATAATGTAGATTCAAACAATCGCCTCTTATCTCACAATTTTCAGTTGGCAGGTTTTGTTTCAGAAGACTGCTTAGATCTTTATTTTATAAACCTAAAATAGCATTCTAAGCATCTTAGCCTAATATTTCTCTATCTGCTGTGAAAGCTCATTATGCTCTGCATATATTGTTATGCAGGCTTTTCCTTGTTTCTCTTGCATTACCCATGGAGAGAGAAAAGTGAAGGAACAATGCAAACAATGTTGGTTATGACAACTGTGAGAGGTATCTCTTATACAAACAGACAGAATGGACAGTATGCTTTAGTATATAGGTCAGCTTTTGAAATAACATAGTGGAGCTCTTATGCTGGACAGATTTAGGGTTGGAGTTGTACTGTTCGCCCCTTGAAACTTGAAGCATAATTGCAGTTCAGATATGTTCAGGCTAATGTAAGTAGTCTGTTCAGTTGAAGTTTATTTTAGGAAATGTCATGTTCTGTAATTGAGTTGAGTGATATAAAAGAAATAACTTTGATAATCCAAGTGTCTTTATTTGATAGACTACGGCCAGTGATTTCAAGCTGCCTGAGGAAGTCGGATGATAAGTTAAAATGTTTAAGTAGAGAGAAATAAATTAACAGCCTCGTGGCTTTCCCTACTGAAGTATCACCTGCAAAGACCTACTTCAATCAGTACTGTAAGAAGGATCAGTATATTTTAATTTTCATGTTTGCAACTTCACAGTGTTTTCAGATATCTGCTCACATAAAGTGCAGTTATATAATTGTAGTTTGACACAGCTAATGACAGGGATGCTGACCTCTGCCATCAGTAGGCAGAAAATAATGGTCTTTACTGCTCCCAATGGTTAGCCTTGCAGAATTATACACTGGATTCTTCTGTGATTTGCTACCTTGTTGAAAAATACAGGAGCCTACAACTCATCTTTCTTGTATTCACTGGTAGTTGTCAGTGCAGTGGAAAAATACAGCCAGACAGCAGAGGTAAAATGATAGACTGTAGTTGTTTTTAAAAAGAGGAATAAAGAGGAGAAAGGAGGGAGAAGGAAGCAAAACCTTTCATATGAAAAAAGCAGAGTGACATTGGGTAGAAGTGGATAAGGAGATATAATACAATGCTTTGTAAGCAGGTAACAATCCCGTTTGTAATCAGAATTCCATGGAGCAAAAGTGCATTTATTTATACTCAGCGTTTAGAGTAATTTATTGTGTAAACTTAACCCTACCATAGAGACTATTCAAATAAAATGTTCCATGGCTATTTACAAAGTGTACATTATTTCTAGGGGCTTGTTTCCATCCAGTCCCTATCTCAAACTCAGAATTGTGGCAAGCAGACTCTCTGAAGGACAGCTCTAAAGCTGAAATACTATGTTACTGTTCTCACAGTGTTTTAGATTATGCTCATATTGTTTATCCTGAACATATTCCCCCCCCTTAAAAAATACCTTGTCCTCTACTGCATTAGCATCATACTTGAAATTTGTTACTGTTTCATAAAGGAAAGATTAAACAGTTGCATTAGGATGACTATTGA